GGGCTACGGTTTCTATGATTTGTTAAAATAGAAAAGGTAAATATGAAATACCTGAAGCAAACAGGAAAGAACAGTGTGTGATGACAAACAGTGGACATGTTATTCAGCAACAAAGTAGAAGTGGCCAATTTGGATTACTCAGAAGCTAAAAGACCTTTCATTTTACTTGTTGGAAATGCTATACAGCCATGAATGTGGAAACTTGAACTAAAATTTGTATTTTATTTTGCTTTCTCATCTCAATTCTATTTGTATTGTATTTTCCAGTCTTCAGTTCGTACCTTCAGTTGGATTTCAAGTTTCTGCCAAAACATAACTCTTAGAGTGTCCAAGGCCACACTGTACTTCTAAAGAGTACTTTTAAAGTACTAACAGAAGACCAAAAGATTAAATATTTGTGCCATGAGTCAGTGGGACTCTGCAGGGAGTCATGAAGTATGATGAGCTCTGGACTATGTCTATGATTGAGTTTTTTAAAGCCAGATAAAAATATATTGGTATAAATCATTGTCTCTGAGTATGAGTAAGAACATAACAGAAAGAGCATGACTTAGTAAGAAACCACAGGACTTAAAATGAAAAAAACTTGTGTTCTCAGTTGTCATGAATTTTCTACCTATATACACAAATGGCATAGCCTAAACATTGTGTTTCTGAAATATACCCTACATTTATAAAAAGGATGTTTACAAAACTGACTGATGAATTGTAATTCTTTTGCCACATAAGAGTAATAACAATTATCTTTATATTCAAAGTTCCTGAAGGATGGATTGTTTCGCTTTCTTGAAGCAGCTCTTGTTTTTTGCTTTTTTTTAATCCAGTAACTGGAATTTTGGTGTATTTTCCTCCCAATTAAATATATGGGTATCAATGTGTCAACACTAATGGTAAAGGCTACTCATGCTTTTCTAGATGGATACCTTTGGGTTTTTTTAATAAATAGTATGGTTTTCTTTTGTTTTTTCTCCATTTCTTCCTTGTCTCTCCCCTCCATATCACTTTTATTTTTTCATCCTCCCAGCCTTCCTCCTGTTGTTCCAAGCCAGCTGTCTCATTAACATATTCTGAAAATGGCAAATTATTTGTTCTGAGAACAAATCTCAACAATCAAAAATGAAGGCAAAGTAACTTAAGCTGGTATGTCAGGAAAATGCTCTCCACAGTTTGCTGAAAAGCTTTGCTTCTACATTTTAAAATCAATTAATTGGGAGAATTCCACTGTCTTCTTTTTAAGAATCATGAAATCGACAGAGAAATAAGATGACCTTCTTTACCCCAACTCTGATAAAAGTGATCTATGAAAACTGATTCAGAAAACTCTTCAACTCTTAATTAAATTTCTATTGGCTTATCACCAACTTCCCTGTCTCTCCACAGTCCCAAATTTGAGTAATTAGATCACCAGAAATAAAAATACAAAGCACAACCAGAGATTTTAGAAGAAAACCCCACATCAGTCTCACAGATTTTCCAGACAGATTATTCAGCAATTTAATATGACTATCTTATCTTCTTTTTCTAGCCTAATCACGTTTCTAGTACTAAATTATTTGTCTGATTTTGAAAGCAAGGAACTGAGAAGAAAGCAGAAAAGGTGATTTCTTGCCAACTGCATGTGGATAAAACCAACAGGGGAATCTCATGAGAGTGTTGCACTCATACCCCTTGCCTACCTCCTGACCCTCTCCTGCTTTGAGCTTTTAAATCTTTCCCACTCTTGTTTCCCACTCCTGAAGGGTTTGACCTTCTGCCCAGCCTCCCACAGCACAGCTAGGAAACCAGGGCTCCCACTCTTCAGAGCAGCGTTGAGCTGTTGCCCATCCCAGCATTTTGGATGTATTGTCTTCTGGCAACATTGCTCCCTGCCCTTTGGCTCCCTTCCTGGACGGCCCGGGGAGGGGCAGAGCAGGTGCAGTCCTGTCCCAGCCTGCCTCCCTGGCAGGCTCCTGGCCCAGCTCCGGGGGACACCTTGCTCCCGGCACAGAGCCCAGCCAAGCGATTGTTTTGAGCACTGCGCACAGGCAAGGCAGTAGCGGGAAGACAACGGAGACCTCAAAAGCATCAAAGCACACTTCTTTTTCTTCCTTCTTATCCCAGTCATGTCTGTTGTACCAGAGTTTTTCTGGCTTGCTTGGCTGTTTATTTCTGGTGGGAAGCAGAGGGGGTTGTGGGACCAGGACCCTGTGGCCACCAGCAAGGGCTTCAGTCGCTGCATTTCACACTGTCCCTCTACAACTGGCTTGACTGCAGAACCAGCACAGGCTGTTTGTTTTCTCTCTTTATTTCTCTCTCTTTCATTGGCTGCAATCAGCTTTTTTACAGTTCTTTCATTTTCTGGGTTCCCAGTTAGCACTAGTAAACACCAATAACATCAATGCCTCAGATTTTTGCCACAGTTGTGATAAGACATCCTCACACCGGCTGAGCTGTGGCTTTTCACTGTCAGCTGAAACTGATGACACTGCAGCCCATCCCTCATAACAATACCATGCAAACGGCAGATCTCAGACTAAAATATTTCATATTTCCACTTACTGGGAACATTTTTTTCCAAAGACCATATTACACTGAAACAGTTTTTGCAGGCATAGGGTCTAACTGAGGGAGCAGGTCAAAGCCCAGGAACCTTCCTGGCGCTTCAGCAGCACCCACAGCTCAGCATGGCAAGGGTGCATTGTCCTTTGGGCAGCCCAAACACAAGCCCTCAGAATGTGTTCCTTCATATTTTCTCTGGCCATTATAGTTTGTACTGTGTCTGCTGGCTGTGTTACCCTCTGTGCAAGCTAGGTACATACCTTCTGAGATTACCCCAGGAGGCAAAGTTAAACTATTGCTGTGTTGCAGCTGGCAATGAAATAAAAGCAGAACTAGAAAGGAAAAATGGTTTATTTGACTGCATTTCTTAGTAAACAAGGAGGTAAATATTTAAAATAACTCTAGGCTCTGGCTTTTGAGGGGACTGAACTCTAGGTGTAAACATAGTTAAAAGAAATCCTACTGTTTGTCTAAAATACCTTTTTCTTCCTATTAAAAAAAGGGAAATTCACTATTGTATTCACTTAACATTCATTTCATTAAATCTATTCATCCTAAGATTTAAGAACTCACTGTAATGCAGTCTTTTTATTACTTATTCCTGGGGGTACTATGGTTCTTGTTCAGGGGAAGGTGCAGTTCCAGACAAGTTTTTAAATCCTCCTTAAGTCTGTATGTGCCATCAGCTGTGTATAATCAACATATTTAGTCAGAGGATGGCATTTAGTTTAGGAGGTTTTTTGAACAGTTGCGTTACCTCTCTTAACTTCCATCAAAATCACTGACACGCTATGGCTGACGAGTGATTTAGCAGGAGGAGTGAACCCCAAAACATCCTCTAGGGCCTCATGTTTGGGAGCAAAACTTTCCTCCATGTCAAGTTGCCATAGGCACCTCTGGCATTCTCTGACACCTCCAGGACCATTACATGTAAAGGCACTTGGGATGTGGGAACAGCTGTGCACCTATGGAGCCAGCTGAGTTTCCAGAGAGCTTGCATTGACCTGAGCTGTGGGTTATATGAGTGTGGGTAGTTAGAGGAGGTTGATTACACACCACATTATCACAGAGCAATCTTATCACAGCTGAGTTTGATCTGTGAAAACATTTCCTTTCCTTCCCCAGCCTAAACAGCCTCTCTCTCTCTTTTTTTTTTTTTCCCAAAACATACAAATATGTTTCTTTAAAAGTTAACATTATTTTTTGCACATAAACCATGAAGAAACAACACCTCTTTGGATGTGTCAAGAAATTGTTAACAGCACCAACAGCATCCTGTATGGATTGACATGTGGACATTTTACAAGGAAAGTATGTAGCATGTGAGAGCAGAGTTAGGCTGACTTGTTTAAGTACATGTAAAAGGCACTGCCAAAACCCAAATTCCCCAATGGTAGCACGTCCCCCTGGCATCCTTGGTAGTCCAGTTTCTGAAGCTGACAGTGAGGCAGCTGTCAGATGGAGCAGTTACAATGTCTTTCATCACATCTTTCTTGCTAAGCAAACATCGATAAAAGACTTACTATTATGCCTGCTCTACATAAGGAAAAAATGGAATTTTTAGGAATTCTCCTGTTTAGGAATTCTCCTGTCTGGAAATACTGCAAACCTACCGAGTTTCTATGTCTACCTTTCCCTCCCATGCTATCTGCAGGCATTAGTGTATTACAACAAAAACAAACATGCAAGCAATCAATCAGAGAGCACAAACACGAAGCCTGCAGCCCTGCCAGATTATACAACAGTGATTCCCACTGGGGGTAACTTGGACAACTTGCCTTATGGAGGCAAGGGGTCTGCTGAGAGTGCTGGGAGGCTCTCCCACCAGGACTGGGACAGAGCAGGGCAGGCAGCTTCTCTAGGCAGCTCACCTGCACCCAGGGCAAAATTTCCCTCCTGCTGCCATCCAACCCCTGGCCACTGCTGCCATAGAAGCGAATAAGGATGGAGTGATTGCCAGTGATCAAAATCAAGTCTTTGACTCAGTATAGCTGAGTCTCCATTTTTCTACAAATAATTGTCATGGAAAAGAGGGTGGCTTGCTTGTAAAATATCACATTCATATTTTCCATGTAAAGTCCTGGTTCCTACTATCACAGGCTGCAAGGGGCTGCCATGGTTGTTTTCCTCTCCACTCCTTCTGACCATAATTTGCTCATAAAGTTACAAGAACACAGCGATGCCGTGTGTGTGCGCAGTGCCCTAACTTTAGCTGACAGAGCAAACCCTCCCTTTCAGAGTGCCTTCTCTGCTAAAAACCTGTGCGTATGAACACAGGGAGTGGAGGAAAACAGAGACAGGAAAAAGAGAGAGAGACCCTGTAAGTGAATGGGTAAGGAATGTGCATGGAGCTGTGCATGGATAGATGTCTGGTGTCTCAACTATTTGTTAAAAGGCAAAAGCAATACTTCCGACAGACGGCCCTCCCCTCGCCTGCAATAGGCTCCCCAGAATAGCAACAGCCTGTGTCACTGCAAAGGGCAAAGCCTTCTGAAATAGCAACAAAGTTGTTCACGAACCACTTTGTGGTTTGCCTTTGGTTTCAGCCAGCTTCAGGAACTTGTTGCCATGAGGAAAACAACCTGCCCTTTCCTGGCCGGCAGGGGAAGGAGCACGGCGCTGTGAGCGCTCCCGGCCGAGGTGCGAAGGGGCAGGGATGGTGGCTGGGCAGAGCACGGAGGACCTCAGCCAGCAGAGCCGGACGATGGGAGCAGGGCAGGATGCGGAGCGCGGCCGGGGCTGCCGCCGCTCCCGGCTCCCGGCTGCAGCAGGTAAGCCCGCAGGAGCCGGGTGCCCCGCACAGCGAATGCTCGGGGCACTTCGGGGGAGAGCGGCCCCGCAAAGCCACGGCACTCCTGGGACGTGCCTTCTCAGTTTCTAAAAGTGCAAGAGGGGAACGTCTGAGCAAGGAAGGGGACTGCCAGCTTGAATTTTGAATGAAGATGTGTGTGATGCTTTCCCTGAAGGGCCTCGGTTCTGCTGCTCGTGTAGGTGCTGTCTGTTGTGTAAATTCTTTTCCTTTATGAAGATCAGCCATCTGAAAGATGGGAGAACCTGCTGCCCTCTAACAACAGTGATCTGGTCCTTGCACACTCGGGGGCAGTTCAGCCCTTTCACCGGAGTGAGTCTGGGCAAGCACTGCACCTGTCCATGCAGGAGAGCAGTTCAGGGACAGGGTCTCCCTCCCATTTTTACTTCCCTAGCATTTCAGGAAGAAACAGGGTTTCTGTGCTGGTACTCTCAAAAATCAGCTGTAACATTTGTTCTGCACTAAGTTTTTAAGTGCAAAAACTGAATTTCATAGCTCTTCATCTTTGCTGTCCTACCCAGTCAGTTTTTGTCAGTTGCAGCATAGTTTTGCATTTCAAACTCTTTTCCAGATGATAAGATGAAGGAGATAATGCCCCACAATCATGATTATTTCTCAGCCACAAGGCTTATTATGCCTTATTATAAGCTGTACCCAAACAGGACATCATGGTCATAAGCCAGAAATTACAATGTCCCAGTCAGATTTTGTTCACTTCGAGCTGAATGAACTGATTAATGCAGGAATATTCAGAAACCATATGCACAAATGCTTTGTGGAGTGTAATAGTCAGTCCTCTGTCAAGCAATGTCTCCTGATACTGGAATCAGAGGTTAGCCAAAAACAGAAAGTCAGTAGGTGCACTGACACATTTAACATTGCCTTAGGGACTGAGGAGAGCAGTACAGATGGTTATGGGATAGCAATAAACAGATAGCAAAGTTTCTGCAGCACATGGGTTAAGATTAGAAGAGTAAGTGCTAATTGCACATCTGTCCTTATCCTCAAAAATTAAAGCAGTAGCCTGAGGAATATATATATATATATATATATATATATATATATATATTACATAGTTAGAAATTAAAAGAATGTGTTGATTCTTACTAGAAACTAACAAAACAAAANAATATATATATATATATATATATATATATATATATATATATATATATATATAACATAGTTAGAAATTAAAAGAATGTGTTGATTCTTACTAGAAACTAACAAAACAAAACGCATATGCCATTTCATGTAATGAGGGGATAGGCTGCCTGTTGACATAGTGCAATTACATAACAGAGGAATAAGAGAGGACATGGCCATAGTGGGTCTTTCTGGGATCTGCATTCCTTGTCTTTCCATCTTTGTCAGGGGGCTTTTGTTAATGAAATTTGAATATTGTTTACAAAGTGCATTAATTTGGCTTATACTATACAAAATATTCAGTGCTTCCCACCACTGGAGGAGTTTAGATGAGAGGTACATTACTTTCCTTCCACCTTCTCTTTTAGTCGAATTTACAAAGTATTTGCTTAGGGTTTGCCTTTCACACTTGGGTGGGAGGAGCCCCATTTGTCAAATGATTGTGATTCCACACGGCCCTGACATTATTTTTAGTTAAGTTAGTATTTTCTGAGATTTTCCAGCTCTGTTTGCAATATAGCTTTGTCCCAAAGCTGTCATTTATTTCATCTTGTAGGATCTTGTTGGGTAACTGTTTCAGATCTCATGCCAGACTCCTAGAGGGACAGAGAGATCACATGTATTGTAGCTAATAGGAGAAATGCACCTACTGAGCAGTTACTGGATCTAAAGAAACCTCAGGTGTTGGAATAGAGCAACTGGGTAACATATATCTCTTTATTCTAGACAATTGGATGAGATAAAGTGACTGTGGCAGCACAGCAAAGAACATGATAACATGAAAATGGCAGAATTACCTTTGAAAAATGTAATTTAGAAGCAAAACCATTATTTAATTATGCAGCAATTCCCAATACATGCCATTAAACATTTATCCTAAAAAAAAAAATCTTCATATATACACTTCAGCAAAATATTCTTTAATGACAATTTGGAAAATTTAAATACTATATCCCTTGAAAGACACACTTTTTGTATGTCAGCACTCAGATGGAGAAGAAATATGTTATTAGAGACAGCTTAAAATTTTCAAGTACAGATGCTGTAGTTTTAAAATTTACTGTACATAAAAGTAGATACCATTCTATTGAAAAAAAAGGATCGATTCTGTGCTGTGGATTTATATCTAGGCAATGCATTCATTAGGGTTTTCTAACCTGCGCTTATTAACCAATAATTGACAGAACTTGCATTCACTTTCCAAAGGTCTAAATAGATCAAAGAAACTGCAAGGATTTAAAGAACTTTCCTGACAGGAAAATACTTTCCTTCCCTTCCAAATGGAGACATTTCTCATCTCAGATTAAATAAAAGTAAACAGAAGTACCATGGTGGAAGAGATTGTCGAGTCCCCTCCTATCAAAATAGATATATTTGCACAGGTTACATAAAGTAATCTCCCTTCCCCCTTCCCAGTAATTTTTTATATGCACCCTGAATGATCTCTTGGGAGAAAGCAAAGAAAAACTACATCAGAGAAATCTCAGTGTCTGGACTAACATGGAGCATGGTACTGCCAAACTGAGCTGGAAAGAGCCCCTTTCCCATATCTCTCCCTCCCACTAGGTGGGTGAAGAGTGGTAGCTCCCAAATCAGCCTGCTTGCAGATCTTCCCTGGCACTGATAATTTATCCATAATGCCTATAAAATACATGCACAGACAAAATGCTGTGCCTTTGGAATGAATGTATTTTCCCAAATAAGTGCTTGAAAATAAATAAAGGGGCAGATCCTTAGTACTTGGCCCCATCCAGCCTCAACGTCAGTACACTGTGCTGCTGTGCTACAACTGCAGTTGGTCTCCTTTTCAGGAACCAAGCAGAAACAATTCCAACAAATGTTCTTAAAGATAGGTTTGTTTGCCAAGTAGGGCTGCTTTTGACTTGAACAGCAGTTGTGGGAAACCACTTTGTTTACATGGGAAACTAGAGAATAGACTTTCCAATCACTTGTCACATACCAGCCCTACACTCATTAGCCATGGTGTTAGTGGCATACAGAAGGAGAAAATTCTCTGGTAGCTATCATTAAAATATTCCTCTGGTCTGTATGCTGCCATATGTTCTGTTGGCATCTCATAAAAATAAGAGAAATATATGTGTATATATATATATATATAAAGAAACTTTTTGTAAAAAAAGGAATGCCTAAGAACTGCCAGCAGCATCATTAGAAGTGACACTTAAAAGGATTGTGAGCACAACTACTGCAACATTCTTTATCTGAAAATGTTAAAGCAAAACATATGCTGAAGTCAGAGGGAATTTTGCCCAGAGGAAGGTCATGAAGGGAAACTGAGCAGAGATTTCAAGGTTTAACTCAGCAGGCAGTTATGAGCAGGCAAGTTTTGGGTACACGAGTTAAAACAAAACCTCATGGTGATATAACAATGTTTTTCAGTAGAATAGTGCCTGTGAGGGACAAGAGACACCAAGTTAACTAGTGGCTTTGTTGCTGCTAATCAAAAGGACAATGTATCTCCCTCTGCATCATGTCAAGATCTGCTTTTCATTTGGGGGTGCTCTAGTTACAGCCCTCCACTATTTCTGTACAACTGTGGGTATGTGTCACTGGACACATGAAGAAGGATACAAGCTGACCCAGTAAAAACAAACAAAATAAACATGAAGATATTGATCAAGTTGCTCTACTTGGAGAAGCAAGAAATATATGGGCTTAAATGCTTCCCAATCAATTCCCAGGTGTCCAGGCTCTACATCCAGCTTGTACAGACTCTCAGAGTGAAAATAAGTAACCATCTCAGTTTCTCTATCTAAGGACCACAGGCTGATGTGAACACAGTCTGGATTGCAAAGTATAGTGCTGGTGGTGAACTCCATCTAAAGATATTTGACTTGACACTCTCCTTCAGAAACTGAAACCATACAAAAATGACACTCCAACAGTTTAATAATTAAGAACTATGTAGGACACAGATTTCAAAGTATCAATAGGGTACAGTGTTGTACCCTACTGCTGTGTTTCTGCTGGACAGCCTTAAACTCAGTTTTTGCCCCTCTGTTACTGTTACTGTTCTTGGTTTCTTGGAAGAAAATAATAACAGTGATAAAGCTGATGGGTGATCAAAAAATGTGATATGTCATTGGCTGAACAGAATTTGGATGCCTTGGCCTGCTGACTGCAAGTGAATGTGCTGTCTGGGTTTCCTCTCTGCTAACTTTAGACATCTGCATCTGAGCGAGACACAGTTTCCTTTTATAGGCAATGTAGGGAAGTGGGCAACAGACCTAATTCAGACATCTAGAAGTGCCTATTTTTCTCGAGTGGTTACAAGAGAAATCTAGAGATGATGTAGATGTCTCACAGGTAAGTTGAACCCATCCTATATATTTTAATACAGACAAACATAATGTGGTTTGCATTCCTCAATAAGATGCAATGAGGCAGGCCATATTTAAAGGCAAGGCAGTGCCTTGGAAAGAATCCAGTCAGAGAAAAAGTAAGTTTCCCTGAAGGATAACCAGAAGATAAGTTTCTATATTTGTTTCTGAGAATCCTTGGACAAATAGAAAGGGAAGTGTTCACCAGGACTAGAAAAATAATGTCAAGTTTCTCTTTGGCACTGTGTAATCACTGCAGGAACACTAGGTCCAGATCACAATTTACTGACAAAGTTGATGGTCTGAAAAAGTTCAGAGAACAGAGGTTTGAATACTTCAGGCATTGGTAAACTTGTAAAGCCTCACAGGGTAAGTAACTAAAAAAGATGTCTTTTTTATGAGATGCCCCAATGACAGGCTATACTTAGTGAACACAGTTAAGGGTGGGGAAATGGAGAATGGAATGATGGCTGGAAGCTGAAGTTGCAGAAATTAAGTCAAGAAATAATTTACAGATAACTTTCAGTGAAAATAATTAACCATTGACTTAAAGCCATTGGTTTTTGGTCACTAGCCATTTTAAAATCAAAGCTGAATGTTTTAAATTGCCCAGTTCAGACCAAACGTAATTGAAGTGTCTCTGAAGGATCATGTTTTGCTGTTCGTGAGTGTCAGACTGGATGAACACAATGTTCTCCAGTCCATAATATATAAATTGAGATAAAGTCCTCCATTAAATATATGTGGCTCAATGATATAAAATACAGAGATACTCAAGAAAGCACAAATATCAGGACTGAACAATAGTTTAGGCAGAGCACTGCAATCAAATTAGCAGTTTCATTTTTGATAATGCTCATTCCATCAGCACAACACTGTGTTGTTATCAGCCCAGATTTCCAGCCAGGATTCATTGGAAGGGTATATTCTCCAGATATAATAATATACAGCAAGCGGGCAACTCAAAAGTATAAATGGCAAGGAGAAATTATGTTTTGCAATGATAAAACAAGTATTGCATGTGTGCTTGCAGGATGCAGCACAAAGCAGCTTAGCTGTAGTCAGCAGTACTTCCACTGAAGTACTTCCACTGAAGTACTGCTCAGTGGGTGAATGAAGTGCAGCAGGACCTAACCCAGGCTTCTATTTAAAATAAGTGAAATGGTCTCAGATACTGCAGATATAAAGTAGAAAAAGCTTTAGAAGTATTAACAGGTATCTACAACAACAATACAGAAAAGATTGTTCCATCACTGGAGCATTTTGCATATTTGTTTCTGTTATTTTCTTCAAGATGTTCCATCTCCATTCCCAATAAATCTACCACCTGCCCCACCTTCTGAAAGACTTTTCACAATAATCCCATTCCCCCTGTGTCCTTATGGCCCATCAAGACAAAACCATGTGCTTCTCCCCTATCTCTTATCTATCTCTGGTTTGCCAGCCACACCAGCTCAGCAGCTGAGTGAGTTGAGGTGCATTTGGTGCATGCAGTAACTCAGGGCTGCTGCTGTTTGGCTCAAGTTAGGAGAGCTAATAGGTGATACTTATCTTAATAGACTTAATGGGCTTACACATCTCCCCTGAGCCCTGAGGCATGGCTTATATTCACAGTTGTACTGCACTACCCTCCATAATAACCTGTCTGCCTGTGAAGTGGCTGCAGGGTGGGATGGTGGAACTGTTTGATTCTGGGAGTTGTTAGGAGAACACAGGGTGGCTTGGGCTGCAAATGTGCCAGGGATCCTGCCAGCAATTTAGTAGGGTATGTGGCCACATGCCAAGGTCTGGCCCTAGGCTCTGGCACTATTTACTTTAGCAGTGCAGATGTACTGCTAGGGCTGCTCTCCTTCTCTCTATTCAAGATTTGCTTTTGAAATGTAATATCCTCTGTCAAATGGGACTGATCCTCACCAATGTGCTCAAAAAGTATTGGCAAGGAACTCTGAGCAGTCAGCGTGATCAAAGAGCCTTAATGCCTTAGGAAAATGAGCTAAAAATAAACAAACTCTGTGTATCATTTCCAATTAGGCCATATACCACTCATTCCAGGAGAATTAACTAAATACAGACTATATTATGCTGCAAAAGCCATTTCTCCTCCAACATGTCCCATTTCTCTAACTAACTGCAAAATCAGAAGTCAATTTACTCTTTTCCTAGCTGTGTGGGAGCCAATATCGTGATGCGAGAAAAATCATGCTGGGAGAAAGAATGAGACCAAAAATAACAAATAGATATATTCCTCAAGGTTTAGGGTGCAAAAGGCTTCACAGTTAGTAGAATATGATCAGTCAAATCTATCTTGTAACAATAAACAAGGAATCACAATTGTATAAAATAAGTTTGTTTTAAAGTGGATATTCAAAGGCATATAATCTGCATTGTTTTCATAATCTGTTTCTTGTTCCTGACATTATGGCTGTCAAAAGCAATGCAAAATATTTGATCAAGATATTCCAAAGAATCTGCGTTTAGATGTGAGTAAAGCACAGAAAGTTCATGAGTTTGCCTCAAAGATCAGTTTCCCTAGAATATCCCAGATATCTGCATCAGCTCACTGAATAAGTCTCCAATCTGACAAAATAGAAACAATGGTACCAGCAGCCTTCATGTCATCCTCAGATGAAACAAAGGAAATAATAAGTGTTGAGGGAAAACTTGTTACTTATTTGAGTCAAGGTTGAAGCAGTTTGGCTAAGAATGCTTTCCTTGCTCATGGTACTCTAGTTGGGTGGACGAGACTTTTTCAGTTTAGGGAAAACACTGAAAGATCTCAAGGCAAAAATTGCTTTCTCACTGTTTCTTTTTGCAATAATATTCTGAAGCAGAAGGTTTAATTATTTAGGACCTGATCAAAACCTTATTGACTTGTGATCAGAAAGATAAGGGATACAAAAGCATTAAAACATTTTATATTCATTACTTTTTTTTTTTTCAGAAATAGCTTTTTCTGTAAATAGCTTTTATGTCACGACTGCTCCTGGATGTGTATTGTACCTAATTGCTTTGCCTAAAAGCTACAGAGAAATTTTTTTAACTGGAAGATCAAATAAACTTATTATTAATTGTCAGAATTTTGCAGAAATCACTCTTTCAAGGTTTTATGTTTTATCCTCTTTTTTCAGGTTGTGGAACATTCACCTTTCTATCTTCTGCCATTGCTGCCATAAGTGGACTTCTGATGGGCTATGAGTTGGGCCTTATCTCTGGAGCTCTTCTTCAGATGAGCAGCATTTTAAAACTCTCTTGCAAAGAGCAGGAAGTCATTGTAAGTTCCCTGCTTTTTGGGGCCTTATTTGCATCCCTTACTGGTGGATTTCTTATAGACAGATTTGGAAGGAGACTTGCTATTATTATTGCATCTTCTTTACTTGTGCTGGGGAGCCTGATTTTGCTGCCCTATGAATCATACGAGATACTCATTGTGGGCCGGATTGCCATAGGTATTTCCATATCATTATCATCAATTGCAACATGTGTGTATATCGCTGAAATCGCCCCACAGCACAGAAGAGGCCTCCTTGTGTCATTAAATGAACTCATGATTGTGATAGGCATTCTCTTTGCCTATATTTCAAATTATGCATTTGCCAGCATATCTCATGGCTGGAAGTATATGTTTGGCCTCGTGATTCCATTAGGTACTCTGCAGGCTATTGCCATGTACTTCCTTCCTCCAAGCCCTCGGTTCCTTGTGATGAAAAATAACGATGAAGCGGCAAGAAAAGTACTGGAGAGGCTACGGGAAACATCAGATGCTACTAAAGAGCTTACTGTGATTAAGTCTTCCCTGAAAGATGAACATCAGTATAGTTTCTTGGACCTGTTTCGCTCAAAAAACAACATGAGGGCCCGAATGCTGGTAGGACTCACTCTAGTGTTTTTTGTGCAAACAACGGGGCAGCCCAACATTTTATTTTATGCATCGACTGTTTTGAAGTCAGTTGGGTTCCAGAGCAATGAAGCTGCCAGCTTGGCTTCCACTGGAGTTGGAGTGGTTAAAGTGGTCAGCACAGTCCCAGCTACGTTTTTTGTGGATCAAGTTGGAAGTAAAACTTTTCTGTGTATTGGCTCTTCTGTTATGGCAATATCATTGGTCACTATGGGCTTAGTGAACCGTAACATACATGTGAATTTCACCAAGGTCTGCAGAAGCCAGTCTCCAGAGGATTTCTCTCTCCAGAGACCAGGAAACTTTACTGTCGCCAATGCGAGTCTCAAGGACCTCTTTGCTAGCGTGGCTTCAGCAGAAAGATTGTCATTTGATGTACAAAGCCCAGATGTTGCCAGGACAGGAGAACTGAACAGGACTGCCCTGGCAGGAGGCAAAAGCACAACAGGGTCTCACATGGAAAGTGGGGAGGTTCCTGTTGTCCTGAAATGGCTCTCACTGGCCAGCCTGCTTGTCTATGTTGCTGCATTTTCCATAGGTCTTGGACCAAGTAAGTGTTTAATTTTTCTAACTGTTTGTAACTTACATTATCAAGTGCTGGGATGACATGCCCGGCTTGGCATTAGGCAGTTCCTAAGTTGGGCAAAGCAGCGTTGTCTGCCAATATGCACCGGTATTGTCACACACCATCCTGGTAGGCCTGGCATGTACTTTGGAGGAAGATGTCCTGCCCCTTAAGGTCAATGACCTGATCTCCCTTCTGTTCAGTGCAATTGACTGGTCCCTCTTCAGTTAAGAGCTGCTGTTAGCTTTGTACAGCAAAATTATGGATCCCCTGGCTATCTTTCACCTTTCTAGTCTATTGTGTCATTACACTGGGAAGGTTAGGATATAGGCTTTTGCTGCTGCTAGCTCCTAAACCCAAGATGATGATAAGCTCTGGACCTCTGTATGGTATGACACTGTCAAATCCACAAAATATGAACCTGCCTGAGTCCCGCCAAGGATCTGTCCCTCTGACTGTGTAATAGTCTTCAGATGTAGAATACACATTCAAGGTACCATAATTCATGAGCAAGCTGTAGTACCATTGCCACTGCTTGGGCAAAGTAAAATTCAACAACAACACAAGTAGGAGGACACAAAGGTGTGACACTGTACAGCTGACTCTGTACTGCTGCATCTGCCATCACACTTGCATCACTCTCTTCTGAGGAGAACATCTGTCATTCCAACGGACTAGAAATTAAATTTCTCTATTTTGTTTGGTTTCAGTGGCACTTGCATAATGTTGTACTTTGAAGGGGTTGACTTTTTAAGTCACTCTGCAAAACCCACATGCCAAGTCCATTATTTATTAACAGACTTTATGTGCTTTTGCACTCTGGCTCAAACTTGCATTGCAAACAAACTGTACTCCCCTGTACTATTATGATAAAAAGCTTGCCACGAGGATACAACCCAACAATTGCACTAACAACAACTCCCCTGCAGTATTTATTTATTTTAAACGTTGCTCACAGGGAGAGCAGTGTGAGATAAGCATTCATTGCCAGGGTTGCAAGCTTGATGGTGTTATTACAGCATTATTCCTTCCCTTGAAGATTGTCTTGGGGCTGGATTCAGCTTTCTGTGACGTAGGTTCAAAAACAGGGGTGAAACCCTGAAAAGAAAATGTTACTTGAACTTTTATTTGGGCGTTTCAAACATATATTTTATGACCCTTAGAGTGGGGTCACATATTCAGTCTTGGCCTCCTGCTGAAATCTGCTTTCCTGGTGACCTGGCTGTAAATGGGTTCTTCGTCATTTGAGTTGGCCTAGTGTACAGTTAATGAGAACAATGTCTATTTTCTTGAAGGCTACAAAAACTGATGTGTTTTCCAGGCTGATCTGAGAAGTCTCTGAGGCCAGTGCTTGTTTTTTGACCTCTTTCCTGACTTGAGAGCTCAAATGCTTTCAAACAAAAAATGAAAGAACAGGCACCCTCTCAGCTCCATCATGGAGAAATCATGTATAAAGCCATTGTGAGGCGATTTATACTGACAGATGCATTTGCCTAGCAAGTGAAGGCCAGGTCTAGCAGAGATACAGGCATTTGAAATTGCAGCTAGGTCCTTTCAAGACGTTTTCCTGCCTTTTAAAGTGCACTATTCAGTTAAAATTTCAGTTAAAAAGTATAGAAGATGCAAGGGTTGGAGAACCAGGAGGTTGTTGAAATCTGCAAAGGATCTATCATGCTTGAATAGTCTGTATTGGGATGCAAGGTTATAATTTGTGTCTCATATACAGCCTACATCATCTCCTGTTTGGAGCCCTAATCCCTGAATGTGTTTTCAAAACCTAGCTATCTTACCCTCAGTGGACCTTTCTTAGTGTAAAGGAAAAAAATGAGCCCCTCTGCTTCTGTAAAGTAAATAGTTTTAAAATGTTTATGTTATGCATCTTTAACTCTGGCCTGTGGTCTGGACCATACTGTTCTCCATTGTCTACTCATCAGTGGGAAGGAGGCATCGAGGCTGCACTTGCTGGCTGCTGTGTCCAGGCTGTGCCTGGGGCACCTGGGACAAGAGCACTGTAACACCTGAACCACTGTATTTTCAGTGGGAAACTCTCATGCTCCATGCAATGGTTAGCTAAGGTGAAGGTGGTGTTAAGGATGCCTCTCTTTGTAGATCATATCGACATCTTTTGGCCAAAGAGCAGAGAAGATCTCGCTCTTTTCCTTCCTCACCAGAAGGCCATTTCTGGAATAAATTCACCCACTTTAATTTGAATCCATGCTTCACTATCTTCTGTGGGGATAAAGGAAACTTTATGTAGGACCATTAAGAGATGATACACTCTTCACAGGACAGATCACACAGTCTGAGCTCTATAATCTTCTTTTTAACTCCTTTGTACTTTTTTTTTTCACTTTTTTTTTTTTGTCAAAGTTTTTTTTTCATTTTATTTTTTTTTTGCAGACATTTATAAATTACTTCTCTTTTGTTGCCAAATTACATAAAGTAGATTGATTTTTTTAATGAACTAAGCATATGCTANTTTTTTTTTTTTTTTATTCTGGTCAAAGAGATAGTTACAATCCAGATTAGTGTAGCAGACATTTATAAATTACTTCTCTTTTGTTGCCAAATTACATAAAGTAGATTGATTTTTTTAATGAACTAAGCATATGCTAAATATATTTATTGCCTTTTATCAAAACACATGGGCAGCAGAGTGATGAGCACTGAAAAATAGACAGTGAGAGATAAAAGTAATTTTTGCATTACAAAAGAATTCATAGTCTAGCAAGCATCTGCTTAGTCAATTTTTTGATTCTGGGGTGCTCTGTATTTATATCATCAACCCTTACACAAGATAAAAGGAGTATTTCTGCTGCTGTGTTTCAGTTTAATTAAGTTTGATGACTGCAGTTCAAATGCTTGTTCACACTCAATTTCACACAATTATGAGGATGTTTTTTAGATGCAACAAATCAGTGTTGCATCACACCACAGAACAGCACATGCTATTTCTCTTGGGGTGCTCACAGAGGCGTTTCAAGGCATTCAGTCATTAGCTAAGGGGGCTTGCTTGACACCCATGTCTTGGGTTACCCTTTGTCTGTGTGTCAGAAAGGACAAACAAAGATCAGCCATTTTCATGGGGAATGATGCCTGCAGAGCCCTAAAGAAACTACTCTTGGCTGCCATGTGAAGGGTGAGGAGTGTGAGAGGGGTTCCATGTTGTTTGCAGCACTTGTTTGTGAAGAGAAGCATTGGAACTTGCTGTATCTGGACAGGGGAGGGACAGGAGAAGTCTGAGCCTGGCAGGAGCACTGCTATGCCTTTCACAGGGGTCAGTGACTGCAGGTTCATGAGATGCGTGTGGTGTGGAAGGAGATCATGGATTCATAACCTAAGCTAATATGCGATCACTCAATGGGACCTTGGAAATTAATTTAACACAAAGGACACACAGAAGTAATCTAGTCAGGGCTAGGACTATGCATGACCACTTACTAAATGGCACAGAATTAACTGAAATAGTTTCAGGGCATCGCATTTGTCAATTGCTCTGTTCAAACCATCTGAGGGTGCAAAAGCTAGAGGTCATTTGCCATAAAGAGGTGTCAGTTCCTTCATTCACCACTGTGTGTGGTACAACATGTTGGGATGCCAGAACGAGGAAAGCCATGCTCCTGGGATATCAGGCTTATTTTCCAAAATAAGCCTCTAAGTATAGGATTCCTATGTTTGGATAGAGCCTGTGCAAGAGAATTATCTTGGTTAGCAACTGTAGGGCAGCTATAGCCTCTCTGAAACAGTGTGGGTGCCCCGAGCTCTGCTGCTCTCCTTATAGACTTAATAAACGAAATTCAGATGTCAGATTGCAGCCATTACCAAAGATCTGCTTTCCTGCCTTTACCATCTGCTTTTGCACGATTTATGATCAAATACTAACTAGGGACAACTTCTCCATATATTTCCTGCATATCCCCCTGTGTCAGATGATCTTATCAGTAAGTAGCTGGAAGAAATATAGTAGCACCACACACAGGTATGCAGGGATGCAATGGGGTCTAGAGGCAATGCTCTTTATCAAAAAGATGTCAGAGTGGCTCCAAGAAATCCTAGGCTGAGAAGCAAGTAATGCAGACTCTGGACCAAACAGAGTGTCTGTTTTCCCAGTCTGAATTTGTTCTTGCAAATTAAAGGCAAGTGAACAAAAACAGGGCACATACTATGAGAGTTAAGTTCAAGGGAATCTATTTAACATGTCAGGAATTTTTTGGTGTGAAATGAGGAACACCTTTAATGAAGGAGGGATGTCAAATGAATGCATTTGGACAGCATGTATGGCCTTGGTGCCTTGTACAAGAGCTCTTCATCTGTGAGTCCTTTAAACACATTTCTGTGTAACTGCAAAAGCATTTAGGCAGTTGGCCAATAAACTTTGGGATAATCTGCTGGAGCAAATCACATCAACTCTGCTGGCTTCATGGCATTTCATGCTGAGCATGCAGATGAAAATCCACAAAAACACCTACAAATGAGAGTGAGGGGCAATTTCATGGCATGAATCATCCTCAAAACTCCAAAATCTAGCTGTATAAAGTCCAAAGGTACATATGTGTCTGCCAACCTGGGATAAGGATTTTCAATTACTTCATGTCCTGGATCAGCTGCCAGCCTTGTGTGGCTCTTCAAAGCCAAGGAATAAACTCTAGAGCTATTTTCTTGGAGACAAACTCCTCTTTCTGGTGACAACTCAGAGCTTGCAGGGATTCCTCAGACCCAAGCACTTAGAACCTTCTTTACACACAGATTGCTGTGGCCACAACCCACCAAAGACAACTCAGCGTCTGCAGCTGGAGAAGTGTTTCCTGGGTTTCAGGGTTTGGCACAAAGAAATACATCTCCCTATCCATGTAGATATAAACATCAAAATATATTTTCAACATGCTTACAGTCAACATATTAAGTGCATAACCAGGTCTTGGAGGAGGGGTTTAGAGCTTACTACAAACCCTGATTTTCCACGGTGCTGTTCCAGTCACATTGAA